TTAAGCTTAGTAAAATAATAATAGGATAATCTATACTAATATATAAATCTACAGTCGTTTTTACGGATGTTCCGTTATAACTACTGAACCATGCATCCGATTGATTTGAAACTTGGTATGGTATCCATGTAGAAAATACATGTACTTAAAGGATAGGCTAATTTTTTATATTAGTGTTGGGCTCCCTACACCAGTTGCGGGGGCGTTAATGATGAGAATCTTTGTGGGAGTGAGAAATAATGATGTTAATTTTAAATGCCCAGCGAAGCGGACGGGTGCAGCTAGTCATTTCTAATTCTTAAATGTCGTGCGACTGAATAAAACTCTTGCAATTGGGAATGGATTACTGCATTAAACATGCCCTGCGGTCTCAGCGAAGCCAAATTTGTTATTCCGTAATATTTGAAGCACTAATTTATAAGTTACAAGTAGATTTCTAGATTCGTAACAAAAATCCGAAAACTAATTATCGTATTTAATATAAAATATACAAATATAGACAAATATTGCCCATGTTAATGGAATTATGGAAAATGCCACGATAAATAGTATGAAATTACTTTAATTCAATTTATAAATATATTTTTAATACGAACTTTCGTTTAAATCGTTCAATCGTTTTGTCGTGATTGAGTAACATACATACAAACTTTACATTAAAATATTAGTATAGATAATCTCAAGGCCGGTGAAAGTAAAACACTTTTGCAACATAGACAGACAGACACGTGCTTGCAATACGCGGAAATATTTCTATTAAGGTTGGTTTTCGGGTCATGGAATTATCTGCATCTATAACACTACAACTATGTCTATTAGTATAATTATATTCCTAACTTTTTTTAATTTTTTTTTCTTTATTGCTTTGATGGGTGGACGAGCTCACAGCCCACCTATTCTTATAGTGAACTGAACGACTGACGAGCTCGCAACCCAACTTTCGTCTTTATAGTCAATTGAACGACTGACTCGATGGTGCAATAGTTAGCACCCCTGAGTGTTGCGCGCTAAGGGTAGTCGGTTCGATTCCTACATCGGATAAACATTGTTTGATAAGCAGGTTTGTTTGCTCTTTATCTGGGTGTTTAGTGTAGTATATATTTAAACGTATATAAGTACGTTGGTCATTTTCTGGTACCTAAAACAGAGGGAATCTTCAATTGGGGCCCGATGACTGTGCGTGATTTGTTCCCATTATTTTTTATATTATACTTTTTTGAACTAATGAAATAATTTAAGATGAAATAAAATTCAGTAATAAAACATATATGTCAATTTTAAGCAAGAATAAAGTAATGCTTAGATTACACATTAAAAACTAATATCACGGGCTCATTTGGAGTAATACATGTTATATGTGACTTAATTTCATTGTAAATTGTTCAGAAATATAGAAAATGAAGAAAAGTTGGGTCCTTAATAAATTAATAATAAACGTCTGCCTGTCTTCCTGGCCTTGTATTTCTTTTTCTATCGTAAAAAATTGTATCTGCAAAAGTGTTGCAGGCGAATCAAACAGAGTCATTACATATGGCATATCACGCAGGCTTCAACAAAGTTCTGTATTGGCGCATATGCAATTATTATGTACACAATATTGTGCACTAAAAACATCAAACAATTTGTGTTTGTTTAGATGTGTCTATCATCAAAAATACCATTGTTTGGCAAGATGAAACAATTCCCATTCATATCATTTTGTATCATAAACAAAAATAGCAATAAAGTGAGTTTAGATGTCAGTCTGAAATGAGTTTTATGTGCAATAGCCTAAAGATAAAAATACCTGAACGTAGTGTATTTATTTCTTAATAATAAGTGGCAAATAGACAACTTTGTAGGATATTTGTTGTTATAAAAAAAGTAACAAATTGGATGAAGCAATTAATATACTTGTTATAGGTTACGAGTTTCTTTTCCGTGAACAACAAAATTGTTGTTGAAATCTGAGGACTTGTTTAATGTTACAAAATTACAAACGAAGATAACATTACAGAAATATGTCATTTCCTACATTACATAAATGTTTTTTTGGGTCACTCATCGCAGTACACAGCTTTCTGTCGAAGTTATCAAGTTCACCTAATCACGTTCTGAACTCAGCCGTTACGCAATTCAAAAGCTCATGTTTATTATAAATGATATACTTCTTGGCGTTCATAATATTTTCGAATCAATCATTAAATATTGACGTATAAGTCTGAATTAATCATTTTAATTTCAAAATCGCAGTATATATTTCATAGCGTTCTAAAAATATTTATACTATTTTATTTTTCATAATTATTCAGACGATGCCAAGCTAATTTGAATGTCGCTCACCTTAAGAAATAAGGTTAAGCTAATCACACTGTATCAACAGCTCTGCTATTCTTAAGTAACCACGCAGGCTCATAAAATGTACTACCACCTCAAATAATGTTTTCAAACATAAATTATTCTTTTTGTGGTCAATAAAACTTTAGTTAGAAGGTAATTTTTACGAGTCGCCCTTTGTCTCTCCATAAATTTGACAGAAAACATCTTATTATATTATATTTCCCATATTGAATCATCAACACTAATTAACTGTAACTATACTGAGATCTTAGAACTTATATCTCAAGGTAAGTGGCGCATTTACGTTGTAGATGTCTATGAGCTTCGGTAGGCAGCGGCTTGGTCGGTAGGCAGCGGCTTAGCTCTGCCCTTGGCATTGCTGAAGTCCATGGGCAACGGTAACCACTCACCATCAGGTGGGCCGTATGCTCGTCTGCCTACAAGGGCAATAAAAAAAAAAGAGCTCCAGTAACCACTTAACACCAGGTGGGCTGTGAGCACGTATACCCAGCAAGGCAATAAAAAAAAAAGAAACGAGAAAGGTCAACCTAATATCTGAATTTAAAAAATATTTCGAACATTTTCAACGTAATAAGCCACTCTTGCGTACCTTTCTTGTATTATAATCAAACACTCCCGTAGAATCCAATTTACATAAAGCTTTGTCCAAAGGTCAGAGCTTCACCATTTGCTATACATAGACCCTCGTATACATCTTTAAACACAGCTGGGTGTGTAGGCAATTTAACGGTATCAAATCTAAAATTATTTTAGTATAAGATGCAAAAAAAAGCTTACCTTTTGACCTTTTCTAGTTGACCTTTGGCTTTTGACATTACCGTAGAGTTTACTGATTGATTACTTGACTTGTTGTTTGGATCACTGAGCATTTAAAGCTTTTAGAAAATACTTCTAAAAGTATGTAGTTACTTGATAGAGTATTACATCAATGTGTTGGATAAGTCTAAATATCTAAAAGCGTATGTAGTAGATTCAATTTTAAAACGTAATTAATTTCTGTTATCTAATTTGGGTTGCATACATCTCCAATTAAGTTACGCCAGTCACGTCATCTATGGTATTGGGATTCGTAAGTGTAAATAATATAAATTTATACGTATCTAATTACCGTCTCATTATCAGATCTTAAGTTGTATAAACTAGAACAAATTGCTACCGCTTTATAATTCTATGAATCTAACCACAAATGTATATATAACTTAAAAAATATGTACTAAGCAATTATGTTTTTGTTTCTTCAACGTTTTTATAATAGAAAATAAAAAATTCCTACCTATTTTTTTTTTTTATAATATAGTTTCATCAATCATCCGAAGCAAAACAATCCTCCATTTATTCGTTGATCAAATATTAATTCCATTATACCCAAAGAGATGGAAAAACGAAAATAAAACCTTCATATTTCACATTTGAAAGGTTCTTGTAATCTATATTCCAATTTTGGGTGTAGGTATACTGAAATCGAATTGAAAATACATGGAATTTTTCTGAAACAACGACTGATATTCTCTGAATACTCTCTCTCTTTCTCTCTCTGTGTCTCTCTCTCTGTCTCTCTTTATATTTTCAATTATTAATCGATAAGTTGAATAATTATCGATTAAAAAAAAAATGTTTCTTTGTGTTTGCCATAATAATGAATTATGTACATAATAATAAATATGTACATTTTGAACATTTCGAAAGTGATGATGATACGGGTGTGACAGTTCAGAATCTAATTTCTTGCACACGTTCGAAACAACCTTGCTGAAAAGGTCAGGCTATTTTTAATGTATAATCTAATTTTTTTCTTTTGTCTCGTAGGCGATTCTTATTTTCTTATAATATACACAAGAATCGGCGACCTTTAAATGGGTTTTTCATAGATCTTTTTTTAGAAAGTTGTTTAACGTTTTCGGTTTTATTTAATTCATTATATACGTATTTGCCTATTTATTTACGTACGATACCAAGTATCTTTTTGAAACAAATGAATATAGAAAGCTAACGGCCAACCTTCAGGATTGAAGAGGCACTGGAAGAAGAAGAAGAAGTATCTTTTTGTGTTGTTTTGTTTTCTTTCTGTTTTGTTTGTAGCTCAACAGCACGTTATTATTTAAGTGAAAGTTTCTTTCCCTGATATTCTGTGAAGTTGCCAAACATTACTAGCTAGAAATGAACAAGCGTCTCATTGGATTTACAGTAAATACTTCATCCGTATCGTTAATACACTTTGTTAACTTCTTTTTTTTATGGAACTACTTAAGCTGATGGTCTTAAGAGACCATATCAGCGTAATCTTTACTAGTAAGTGAGCTCAAGGGGCTCAAACCTGATGTCGTTGCTAACACTAACCCTAGTAAGAGCAGTGCTTCGCAGAATCTACCAGAGGATCGGAAACGCGACCCACTGAGAAGATCCGGCGAGAAACTCAATGGGCTGTGTCTGTTAATTTTTAAGGGTTAATTTACTCGCCGAGCCCTTCGGTCTCGAGGAGAACGACGACCAGTGCTTAGGGTACTTAAAAGCACCTTTAGTGGATCGTAACTTCTTAAATATGTTCAGATTCATACCAGTAACGTCATTTAATGAATCACTTACTTTTTACATTCATTATATCAATATATACATAGATAGGTACGTTCAAATGGCACTAATGATCGATATTTTTGTTGCAGCGACAAGTGGATCTGGCAGCGGCCCAGGCGGGGGTGAAATGCGGCGCGGGGGTGACGTCACACCGCACACACAACCCCAGCGGAGGCTCATCAAAGTCGACTTTGACAATCTAGAGGTTAGAACGCGACTGATCTATGTATTTTAGAAGAGGCGTTACGTCGCTTTCATAAAGTCAGATATCGGACAACCAACAACCGATATATGCGGGGTTTGTTGACATGTATTACATAGGTATCGGGAATTCCGAAGACAGACAGTACCTACTAATAGTTTTGCAAATGAAATCGAGCTTCCAAGAAAACGAAATGGTGTTATTTTTTTATTGATTGCTGATCTGATATTAAGTAATTGAGTAGCCCATATATTATATTATAACCAAATTAATACCCTCACGGATAATGAGTTTTGTGATCGGGTCGTAGTGTATAATCTGTTTTCCACCCTGCAAACCAGAGCGCAAAGCTGCTTCGTGGCATAATTATCTAGGATGGTAATATCCCTCATACAATATGCCCTAACACCAGTAATTGAGCAAACTACGGGCTTCCTTAGAAAATATGGTATATGTCGCCGGGATTTGAACACCGAAATAGTCGCGTCGCTTGATACGAATATACAACAGGCGTTAATATCATTTAGGCCATGGTATCTTTTAGCTGCTTAGAAGTTCTGATTTGTTTCTTTTGATGATTTACGGATTTTAGGGAACAAATATATGTCTTCCTTATTCTCTAAAAGAAATAGATATTCGAAATCAACATTAAATTGCCGTGTAGATTTTTAAATAACTTTGTTCGACCACTTATAATTTTGGTTTTTTTTTTATTGCAACCACACGTCACAAACTCACGTATTTGCAAGTTATTCATGCGTGTAATGACTTGTGCAGTTCGGCAGATATTACCTACCACTGAAAAGTATGTTAGTAAAGTTTGTTAAAATATAAGCTTGAATGCAAGGAAACGTCTTTTAAATATTCGAAATTGGGGGTCTCGATATTAATTTTCTACATGCGACAATGATATTGCTCCCACAAATTTAGACTTAAACAATCGGCCTTTATATCAAGATGGTTCTTAGGTGGTTCTTAGATTAACGCTTCCTTAACTTTAACAACGCAATGAAGATCTACCAGATCCGGACTTTTATAAAAATACTAGCCGTACTCGCCCACTTCGCTGGGCATTTAAAATTAACATTATTATTTATTGTCATTATTATTAGGGAGACCAACACTCATATAAATATTAGCGTATCCATTAAGTACATGTATTTTCTACATGGCTACCAAGTTTCGAGTCAATCGGATGCATGGTTTAGTAGTTATAACGGAACATCCGTAAAAACCACTGTAGATTTATATGTTAGTATCTAATTAACGAATCTGCTGAAAGCAAAAGATAATTTACTATACGGTCTTCAATATTTTCTTGTCTTTAAATACATACGCTATCATTTAAATAAGCTCTCGAGTCTCCAAAAGGAGTTTTAACAGAATGCTTAAACATACATAATATGTACACAAGTCAAATTTTCTTCATGTACTCAGTTAAGATTTTACATTATAATTTTCTGTAGCATAGTCTCAATTCCAGATTTTTTCTGTTTTGAGAAGACACACCTAAGTTGACAAACTTCGGAGGAACAAAGGTGATGTTCCATGCCTGTCACTCTTAGCGTGACTTGCATAACTAACTAAATGAATCAAAGCTTTTTTGGTGTCTTACCTAAAAATTATCACCGCATCAAACTGGTCCGAAGTAAAAATAGCTTTGCATAGTGCACAAAATTATATCCAAGCACTTGTCCTAACATATTTCCCAAGGCTTCGCTGCCCCAGATACTTGAGGGTACGTGACTCTCACCGTTACTACATCAGGAATAAGATCGCAAGTTGCTTGTATATTTCATGGACGGAACTATAGTATACATTGGAATGGTGGTAAATAACCAGACTGTATAAAGGTCAATACTCTCAAATATGATTATGAAGGTGTGGTTGTATTCTTATTAAACGAATACGTAGTATATTTCAAATTATGCTGTTGATACTTAGCTTTATATTAGCAGTCTTGATAGTAGCTTAAAGGCAAGTATCACTCATTATAAATCTGGACATTAGAAGTATATGCACGATTTGACTTTTTGAAATTGATAAATTTAAATGGAAATCATTTAGAACCATAGAGGCTATTTTTTGTCTAGATCAGGGGTTCCCAACTTATTTTGTCTACTGCCCACTTTGAAAATAAATTATTTTTTAGCGCCTCCATTTTTTCACCTTTTTTTTTTTTATTGGCCTTGGAGGCAGACGAGCATACGGCCCACCTGATGGTGAGTGGTTACCGTTGCCCATGGACTTCAGCAATGCCAGGGGCAGAGCCAAGCCGCTGCCTACCGCAAAACTGTATAACGTTACTTAACTGTACTGATATTATAACGTGGTGTTGCATGAAACATCGCATGTAACGTGTTATACAGTAAAAATGAATTATTAAAAAGTATTTCAGTTTTAAATTCATGTGGCTCTCTAAAAAAAAATTTAGAGGTTTGATTACGCAAGTGACTTTTACTCTAGTCGATCGTGAATTGGACCGTGAAACGACGGAACCATCTATTTCGTGAGAGTTTTCGGTAAATCTAATATTATTAATACTAAAATAGTAATACTAATTAGACGTAGTTTGACAAAATAAAACTAAATTTTAAAAAAATATGAAATTAAAAAAACAGGACATACACTTACGTAATTTCAATATTGTTAGTTTTTACTGGTGGTAGGACCTAAGGAGTATCTTACCCGTGTACAATTTTGTAAATATTATGTAAATATAGTTCAATGGCATCGTACGTACGATTAGCAACGGTTTTCACTTTGATAATTATAATATGATATACAAATAACTACCTCAACATGAACAGAATGAATGAATGAATGCATGAATGAAATTTCTTTATTGCACAAAATATTGTACAAAGGTGAACTTAACGCCATGCAGGCATTCTCTTCCAGTTAACCCTCGTCGAAAGAAACAGAAAGTAGAATTCATTTAAATTGATTTAGTTTTTGAAATTGCATTCGATGGATTCCTTGTAATACCTAACCTACATTTGAGACTGTGGTTTACAAATGCTTCGCAAGAGAAATAGGCAGGGTAGTGGATCCACTTATATCGACTTAGTCTACACTATCAGAAAAAATATGAAAGTTTCTTAGATTTCTTAGTTATCAATAATATCTTAGTATTAATTAGAACTAAGTAACCTGAAGAGAAGTATAAAAAAGAAACTATTTTGTTTAGCTAAGCCTAAACAAATCATTTTAACAAGTTCGTATTTCGTGAATCAACCATCCAAAGCGAGGGCAGTTGGGAGCCACCCCTCCGCGTCTTAATAGAACGTTGACCTCGCGCGGCAGCTGATTTTAATAGTACAGTTATTGGATTTCGTGCAGTGCAATAAACATTAGTTTTATTTTAATGCACTAAATACTTATTACGTCTAAGTCACAAGTGCATAGTACAATGGCTGTTCCAACTTCGAAACAGTGTGCTTAGCGCGAGTTTTTTAACGTTCTGGATAGCCTAAAAGTTAACTCAAATTAGTATGTAAGGATGTAGGTACACTAGGGCGTTATATCCTTTAGGTCACGACGACTTTCGATGACAATTAATTATTTATTTAACCGCAAACTACAAAATGTAGAATTTTTGACTGCCGCCCTGACTGCTGTGACTTGTTAATTTTGTTTATCGCAAATGCACTAAAACCGATAAACAAATATTTTAAATCATACAGAATAAAACACGTTATTTATCCAGCTTAATTTTAACATTAAGTCATTTTTTCGAGGGAACGAATACTGACGAATACTTTTTACTGGTGGTAGGACCTCTTGTGAGTCCGCACGGGTAGGTACCACAACCCTGCCTATTTCTGCCGTAAAGCAGTAATGCGTTCCGGTTGAAGGGTGGGGCAGCCGTTGTAACTATACTGAGACCTTAGAACTCATATCTCAAGGTGGGTGGCGGCCTTTACTTTGTAGATGTCTATGAGCTCCGATAACCACTTAACATCAGGTGGGCCATGAGCTCGTCCACTCATCTAAGCAATAAAAATAAATTAATAAAGAAACTGAATATAAATATGCATCAAATACATTCTCACAATTTAGCACAAAGGGCGGAAAGATACGAAATAAATATCATATAAATATGTTGGAGAATTTTGCTTTTTGCTTTAAACGCAAATGGAATTTGTAGATCTAATATCGTTGATGTATTCGAATGTATGATAATATACATTTGGTTACATTTCGATAAGACAACGTCTGCGCAAAAAAAATATCTTTCATTTTATAAGGTATTATTAGATTTTGTAACACAAGTATTGGAACAAATAAAAATCAGATGTCCCGCGATATCCCTGTCTGGCTTCTAAGCCATCTAAGGCCCTTTCCGAAATAAATTGATATATCAAAAATGTAAAATTTTAATTGACTACAATATCAAAATTTTACTTTTAATTTTGTTTTTTATTTTAATTGACTATAGATATGCGTTGATATAACAAGAAAAGACGCAAAGCAGATTTTTTTCGAAACTAACATACGAATGACGTCATGTGGTACTTACGTTTATTTAGAATAAATCGTTTTTAAATATTCAATTTATAAACATTTTACATTTACAACAATTTACATTTCGACAAACAATTTACATTTCGAATTAGAAGCCTTACTCATTTTTAGTTAGCAAAACCACAAGCAAAATAAAAGAAATATTGACAATTGCACTGCATTCTTTCAAACCATTTGGTCGAACGGTTCTCAACAGATTTTNTACGTTTATTTAGAATAAATCGTTTTTAAATATTCAATTTATAAACATTTTACATTTACAACAATTTACATTTCGACAAACAATTTACATTTCGAATTAGAAGCCTTACTCATTTTTAGTTAGCAAAACCACAAGCAAAATAAAAGAAATATTGACAATTGCACTGCATTCTTTCAAACCATTTGGTCGAACGGTTCTCAACAGATTTTACAGATTTTCTTGACGCTATTATCTAATTCTTTAATTTAACTCATCCATCCGAAACATACGGCGTTATTGCTTGCAATGAAAGATTAAGCGTCAGAAAATTTGTTCTGGATTTAATTTTATTATTATTTTTATGAATTTAATTTTATGAAAGTAAACTTAATTTTATTCATTGTTGCTCATGACCGAAGAATTAACAGTCAGCCCGTAAAACGATTAGTAGATTTCTTTTGTTCGGTAAAACACGAAACTAAACCTAAAACAAAAGATAACTCTGCATTTATTGCAAAAGTTTTAGTCATTTCTGAGTGTGACTTTTCTTATTTTAAGTAATAAAAATACTATAAACATTAAAAGGAAGTATACCGTCTTCTAGTCATATCGAATAAAAGTGGTCGTTGACCTTCACATACTATGATCCAACCCTTCAGGGTGGGAAAACTCATCGAATTAATAACCCAATAAACGAATTTTGATGATACATTGGCCTGAATTGGCTTTATCTATAATCAATTACATGTTTCATGGGATTAACTTCTTAATAGATTTGTATTATTTTTGTACTTATCTTGGGCCAGTGCTTAATAGTGCGTGCATACATAAATATATGTTACAGACCTGTACTGTTTTAAAATATCTATATCATAGATAGTATGTTAATAAATTTTGCAGTATTTTCTTTGCCCATTGATTGTGCAGAGAATATTTTTCAACTTCACTTCTTCTTTCAAACTGTTCTCACAGAAGGTCGCGTATTTTGGAACATGAGTACGATAACATTCCTCGTATTCCTCATAAAAAATAATATAGATTAAATAACATCTGTGGAGTGTTCTCCGTGCAGTTATTCCTTCTCTTTATTTAAGTTGCATAGGCAAATATGAGAAGGTACTGCTGCCTGCTTGTACAATATCGCATATTTTCTGATGAATGATCAAACACTCTTCTCATGATGCCCTGACTAGTTTTTGGAACGAAGTTCCTTATGGGGCGATGCGGAGGGGTACCCTAACCGGGAAAAAACGTCCGTAACGTAAGATTTTTATTAGTAATGCACACAGTGTACGACTTAACTTTGTAATAACGTACAAAAAAAAACATATTTTTTTATCATTCATTGACCACGATCTCACCAGTGTTATTTTCTTTATACCTCGAATAGAAATTAAAATTAATATTTTTATAATAAGGAACTTCGTTCCTATCCGGGCGTCCCACGACAACACACTTCTTTTTTTAATTATTTTATTGTACATATTACTACTTATTATACTTTTTATTAACAATATTGGTCAACGTCAAGCTTATTCGTGATCGTATTGTCACCGAAACGACGAATTCCAGTAATAATTGTCATTGCGCTCAAATTCAACCGTTAAGTGGCCTCTATGAGTCAGACGAGGTGGCTGCTCTATTTTTTTTTGTTTCTATTCAATATTAAAATTGGTTGGTTATAAACGAGAAAACATCCAACTAATAAACGTACATATATATGTATCGATTTTGAAATAAAAAATATGTATAGGTAATTATGTAGACCGTGAGTTTATTCTTTTGACACCACAAAATGCCTGTTGCCACCCATCTCCTGACGCGAAGACAAAGTTTGATTTGGATTGGATTCAAGGCTAATTATCTTATACTTTTTTTTTATTGCTTAGATGGGTGGACGAGCTCACAGCCCACCTGGTGTTAAGTGGTTACTGGAGCCCATAGACATCTACAACGTAAATGCGCCACCCACCTTGAGATATAAGTTCTAAGGTCTCAAGTATAGTTACAGTAGTACAAGTATACTTCCTAACAGTTACTAGACTTGACTGCGGTTCGAGAATTTTGGCTCATGATACCAAAATCGATTGCATTCGAACGATGAAGATACTAATAAGAATTTTTATTTTATTTTAAAATAGGATGATGAGGATGAGGAAGACACTGAAACCTGCGCGAGTCCAGAGACGTGTGCTCCCCAACCCTTCCCGAGGCACACTGCACCGACCACACAACAAACGCCGAAGCCTTGGAAGAGAACTGGTGAGTCCCACGTTTTAAAGCTTATTCAATTATGATTTAGTTTAAAACAACGAATTGTTAAGCTAAAAGTAAAAAAAAAAAAATCATTCACTTTAAATAATCGATATTTATTTACTCCGTATGCCTGATGATGTAACAAGTACCCTAGCAGCAGCAAAGAACCACAACAGGGCGATTTCAATAAAGTCATTTGTTTTCTGCCCTCATTTTTAAATAATCATAATCACTTCTTCAGATAATGTTGAAGTCTGTGACTGAAATATATTCACAATGTCATAAGCAACTAACGCACTATTGATTTAAAATGCTTTTAAGAAGCACTTTATCTGACCGCGACGGGGCAACGAAAAACCGCCGTCGTCTGAAACATGTCGGATCCCCTACATTCAATCTCGAATGCTTTTAGGCCTCTCAAGCACCGGTCACCGTCCTCGTCGAACTCGTCGATTACGACGAAGAGTTCGACAAGCGAAATAACCCATAGACACATAACCCACTGAGTTTCTTGCCGGATCTTCTCAGTGGCTCTCGATTCCGAACCGGTGGTACATTCTGCGAAGCACTGTTCTTGCTGGGGCTAGTGTTAGCAAATTCTCTCAGGTGGAGCCAGTGAGCTCACCTACACGTCCGGGCGTCGCTGGAATAGCCTCTTAGGCTACCAACGAATAACTAGGGGGGAAAAAGAACCATTCCAGAATTCTTAGTATAATACAGTAAGATCATATCATCTGTTACATGGTACATATTGTGAATTAGTGTGTTTTTCGGATATTAAGCACAAAATTGAAAGTTGACTTTTAGCATGTGAGGGGACATAAAAATGGCATTTTTGAGTTCGATGTGACCACTACTGAAATGATTGGTGTTGTGCAGAGGAAGTTCCTCGTGCTCCACCGCGCACGCGCATCACCCACGACGAGTACCACCACTTCTGCGACCAGACCCTTGAATGTATGGAAGCATGCAATCACGCAGAGTTCTATAGTTATCAAGCTTTGTATGTTGCAGACTAATGGCTTTGCTCTTTCATTTTAGAAAGGCGTTTACGTTTCAGTGATGTGGATATTATATTTGGTTCTAATCAATTTTTAATTATTTCTTTCAACCTTTCAACATGAACACTTCCTTATTGTGATATGTTTTAGATCAAAACTGCGTTGTCCCTCATATTCTCTTTTTATCTTTATTATTATTCATCATCATCTATTATAGTTTTAGTTTTTTTAATTGTGAATGTGTTTTAGTAGATATTTTAGTTATCTTTATTAATACAACGTAAAGTTAAAATTATCGTTTTTTATCAGAGAAAAAAAAAACCGAACAACGCTCGGTCATCCTCTAGTTATATTTAATTGCAGTAAATGTTATGTTTATAGCATACGACCTGGCGACGCAGTGTCCGTCGCGACGTGCCTCCATGCGACGCCACACGCTGACGCATCCGGCCTGTCCACCCACCGATGGCGCGCAATCCTTGCCGCACTCCAGGTTGGTGTATATCATCATCTTTCAATTAATACGTAAAATAAAAACTTTGTACCCTTTTTACGAAAATTGCACGGACGGAGAAGTATGAAATTTCCCACACTTATAGAGAATATAGAGAAGGAGTGCAGAATGCTATTTTTTTAAATTATGCATAAAAATACATTAAATCAATAAAAAAATTATTACAGACGCCACACGCCATGTATTTGACACAACACATACATAGAAATATACGGACTCTTTGTTTATTGTAAATTGTCAAATTTTGTTATTTTTAAAGTCTGTGGTCAAATTTAGAATATTGTTCGCCTTTGATATTATTTATCTATAATTTAATTTTGACGAAATCTGTGATTATATTATATTATACTAGAAGTATAATAGTGTTTGATAATAGAATAATAATAATGTTTAAACTTATAATTATATTTAACTATAGTTAAATTTTGACTACTGCGGGACCACAAGTCAATCAAAATATACGACGATGCATTAGAAATACAAGAAGCTGCCTTGCTAGACGCTTGCTAGCGGCAGCTTACAAACATGACTTGGTGCTCAGAATCATTTTCGAAAACGAAGATATTGTTTTTTTTATGACGCAATGCAATAGAATAAAAACACAGTTCAAGTACTTGGTTGAGGATGAATTCCAGTGGTTGCGGTTATTAACCCCATAATTTTGTTCGTATTCATTGCGCGTTATAAAAAAATAACGTTTCAAAAATTTTCCGTTAATCACAATAAAATAATGATATGATATTCTGATAATTATTAAAGTTATTGTATTTGATTTTCCTAGACCAGGTTCTCGCGCATCGTGCGCTGGTGCGGCTTCGATCGCGAGCAGTGACGCTGACGTCCAGCTCGGGGAGCTCTCCTGGTCGCGGTCCTCGCTTCAGGATGAACTGATCAAGTCGGTTAGTGGAAGCCCCAATCATGGATCGCATGTGAGTTACACGTAGTCCTTAGTTTAAAGGTCCGCGCTAAAAACTATGCTACGCTAACTAAAACTATGCTAGTTTTTTTTTCCAAATGTACGGTTGTAAGACAAAAACATTTGAAATAAAATTTTAATAGAAATTAAAATATAGAAATCGATTTAGATGTCTGATGCAAATTTAGGAGCACGTAATATGTATGACGTAGTATATAGAGCATGTGCTTACCCTATGGAAAATTCGTTCTAAGATCAAATGTAAGAATTCGTTGAACTTTTATGCTTGGATTGATAGTAGTTTTTTTGAAGTCGTCGTGGCCTAAAGGATAAGACGTCCGTTGTATTCGTATCTAACAATGCACCGGTGTTCGAATCCCGCAGGCGGGTACCAATTTTTGTAATGAAATATAATACTCAACAAATGTTCACGATTGCCTTCCACGTTGAAGGAATAACATCGTGTAATAAACATCAAACCCGCAATATTATAATTTTCGTAATTACTGGTGGTAGGACCTCTTGTGAGTCCGCGCGGGTAGGTACCACCACCCTGCCCATTTCTGCCGTGAAGCAGTAATACGGTTCGGCTAGAAGGGTGGGGCAGCCGTTATAACTATACTGAGACAATAAGCAAAAAAAAGTAGTCGTATATTTATGTATTTTTTGTATAACTAATAATACTTTGATGTTTTCAGAAGCAATGGCAAGACGCAATCATGTCTGACGATCGGCTGTCGCTGACCTTGGAGGAGATCGTGCACATCAGGTCCGTGCTGACCAAAGCCGAGCTCGAAGTCTTGCCTGTTGAAGGCAGAGTCAAGGAAGACGTTGAGAAGAGAAGGGTAAGAACATTGAAGTTATCTTCCCGAAGCGATTTGTTAGTCAATCAACATGTGATCGCATATAAAAATGCAAATAGACTTATCTTGATGTTTTAATTATTTATTTTAAAAATTGTTTCCAGGTATGCTTCTTGTGTTTGAAGACAAGATTCGGTATTTTTGGTCCTTGGGGCCAAAAATGCAAACTATGCAAAAAGACTGTCTGTCAGAAGTGTTGTTCGAAGGTACGGCCACTTTATGTACTTATATATATTAATATAGCGTTGAATAATAATTTTACACTTGACTTAAAAAGAGCTTGTAATTTATTTGGTCCTTGATTGTATTGGGCGTGAATGTTGCATTTTAAGCAGGTTTCATTATGAAAATTAGATAAATCGCACCTTTAGAATAATTATAGAAGCCCATTTCGAAATATTTGGATTTCGAATTTAATTCAAAAATGGACCTAGAACGATCATTTTGGATTGGGTGTCTAAAATTGTAAGGGTGCGAAAAACCCTGTCTCCAAATGAGGTCGGTTCTAAGTTATAGTAGGTTTAAAAGCCATAAATGAGAGATTTCACATTGGCGAAAAGAATACTTTGCTTAATAAAGTATTTTACTGCGGTCGTTCACCCCTGTATTTTCTACTTTTTACATTGCGGGCTCATGCAATTACCATTAAAGTTATACTTAGAACAAAATTTTGTTTGCTATTATATTAAAATAGTGCACGTATACTAAGACGAGGCTAATTTGCAACACAGTCCATTTTGACTCAATATTTAAGTACGCGTTAAATAAAAATAGCTTTTTTTAATTAAATTTCATATGTGTTCATGATCAGATGCGTATACCAACGGAGCATTTCGCTCACGTGCCAGTCGTCCTGCTGAGTCCATCGCTGCTGCCGTCGCCGGAGGACGAGGCTCACTCCTCCTTCCCGAGGAGCCTCATGTCGAGGCTGGTCTCGCCTGAGTACACGGTAATTTAACATTATACTAATTATACGATGAATGTGACTCCTTCATGGCGGGGTCTGGAGAATCCGGCCAGCCCGTAGCTAGTACGCCAGGTGGTGGGAACAGCTTGTCCCCCACATGCCTCGGATGATTTTAGTTTCGATTGGGATTTGGACGTAGGTTGTCGAGTAACAAGAGGACTTAAACCTGTTTAATACATGTCCGTCCATTGCCTCTAGCTTGCAGACTGAAGAAAACCATGACATTATCCTTAATTTTTTTTTTAAAGTAAATAATCAATTAGAGTAAATATCCATTGTTAAGCATTCACGGTGTTTTTGATAATATCAGTGAGCACTATATCCAATATTGCCTTGGCAACCTAAACGAATACCAGACGTCAGAGATCGTACAATATTGATTATGTTAATAGCATAAGTTTTAAATTTCGAATTCGTTTAATGACGCGTACAGAGCATGGTGGAGAACAGCGTGGGCAGCGCGCCGAGCAGCCCGGCAGGGGCGCGGCGGGCGGCGGCGAGCAGCGCGCCCCCCTCGCGCGGCCCCACCCCGCTGTCCCTGCCGCCCGCGCCGCTCATGTCGCGCAGTGTGGACGCGCCCGCAGACACGCTGTACCGCAGGTATGTGCCTCTGGACACGACATCTTGGACTTTTAAGTCACCTATCCTACTCTTCAAACTGGAACGTTTTGCCTCAGAAACCTCCACCCAACTGTGTGAGTTTACAATGACCGATATCAAGAAAAAAAATCGGGCTTAGTTTTAACCCGATGTTATTTCTTCATCGTGAAAGTCCTTCGTGAACACGTGTCAAGAACGTGTATCTCATACCAAAAATTGTTACCTGCCTACGGGATTCGGAGCATCACTCGATACGAGTACACCGTGCGACCGTTCCTTTAGCCCATGATGACTTAAAAAAATAACTGCACAATACTCTCTTTCAGGCATATGTGGTCCCTTCTTCACTGATAAGAAAATAAAGCCCACTGAGTTTCCTGCCGGATCTTCTCAGTGGGTTGTGTGTCTGATCCGGTAGTAGATTCTGCGAAGCACTGCTCTTGCTAGGGTCAGTGTTAGCTACACTCCGGCTTGAGCCCCGAGAGCTCACCTAAGCGCTAGGGTAACGCTGATATAGCCTCTCAACGCTATCAGCATAGGTGGGGGAAAAACCCTTCCCATCCCTGTTCGTATGCTTGTGTGTACAATCATGTCTGACGTTATTGTCTGATGTTGTGCGCCCCTGGTCCGACAGGTCCCGCTACAGCCGCAGCCCGACCGGTGCAGCCGAGCGTCTCCGCGGCGTGCAGATGGCGGTGTGCCACGACTGCAAGGCGATGGTGCTGCAGATCATCAAGTCGTCTCGGGCGTCGCGCTCGGCGTCCCGCGACCGAGCCCTGCGGCACCTCACCCTCGACCTGGCGCCAGTCTACACGCCGAACTGCTAAACTTATACCAGATAAATATCGAGAATCGAGGAACCGCTTTTGAAAACATCAGTATTTTTTTTGCACTTGCAATAAAACACCAATAGATAATTTACAGTGTCATGCAAATAAATATCAACAGAGTTGAACCTGGCCGAATGTTGGTAACGAAAAACTACCCGCTTAAAGTCATTAGGGTTATTGACCCTCGAGTTATGAGCGCTTTATCCTACAGGCCCATAAAGTGTTAAAAAAAATTTAATTCCATTTATGTTTTAAGCTTCGAGAGCGGTTTCCTCTTGCTTAACCCTTTCAATCTCAATTATAACTATTTGATCAAAATAAAAATTAGCTTGCCGACAATGTCTGTTGAATATGAAACAATCTAACCGATAAGAATATTTGGGTTAAACTACAGCTGTAATGTACTATTTTTATTCTTGTATCAATTAGTCGACATATTCTATCCCTAGTAATATTTGACAGCTCGAGGTTGTTGGCAGCCCTGTTCTTATTTTGATCGCATAGTCGGTATTTTGTCGTAATTGTATTGGATTTTATCCACTTGTTTGGTAAGATTAAGTACGTTATAATTATATCGAATAACAATTTTCTGTCAATGAAATGATAAATATTCAATTTTGTGAAATTAAAATTTTATTATGGTTTTAACGCCGTTGCTCAAAAGAAAAGAATTTGCTTTCAGCAAACAAAACAAAAAAATATAATTCGAATGTTTAATTATTAAATCGTGTTTTTAATGAAATTCGATTTTTTTTGAAACTTAACTTTAATTATTTTCAAGGTTATTGTAAACAACAAGTACTTATGATACGGAAAATACAATACAATTACGGCCATTTTATTTCTTGTAGTAATGTGATCACAAAATTTATCGATGCTGGAAATAATCGAGTAGGGTAGGGAAGTTTCGATATGTTTAAACTGGCAATAATGAAATATCAAAGACAAAAAATTACAAAAAACATTTTTGTACATCTTGCTTCATTACCCCAAAGGGAAAAGGTTTTCCTCATCGATAAAATTTGGAGATGTACTTTCGTCAAGTAGTAATTGTTGACTAGTTATACACGAGACTTCATGATGTTTTAATTTCTATAAATTATGATTTGTTATATTTGGTTTTTAAAATTTATTATTATTCTTATTATCATGTGACATTAATTTTATTTTTGACATAAATTCATTATCAATTTTGTTATCTAAAGTGAGAAACAGGCATACTTTTAAAATCCTAATCTTGTAAAACTAGTTAATAATTATTGATATAAAAACCATAGTTCTTATTTATTTAGTAAACCAATACTGTGCAGTAATTTTACTAAATTTAAAATTTTGAAAATCTAACTTGAAACTTGTTAATCAATATCGCTACATTGGTAAAAACACGTTATATAGATTAGTCGACAGTAATTTGACTGATTCATACAACGTTTCTTAATCGATAAATAAAAATAAAGTCGAACATTGGTTTCAATTCAATATTCTCATTTTAATATCGATTAAAATATACATTGACTGCTAATGTTTTAGTATATCTGTTAAATCGATAAACTAAAACATGCGATGTCTAAAATCAATGTGTCGATATCGATTTAATTTAATTTAAATACAGATCTAATTTCCATTGAATAATTGTTTGTTGAGTGTAGAATATGATAATTTTATTGATGTGTGTAATGAAAAAAATAATCGTATTAACCGTACAAATGCATTTTATCATTACTTGTTATTCTACGTATGTGTGCACTTTCAAAAGAACCACAGTGACGTGCAATTAACCAATAAAAATTAGCAGTACTTTAGTACTTTTAGATTTATTTTTCCAAAATATATTTCATGAAAAATAGTCCATTATTGTTGTTAAATATCTAAGAATTATTCTTGAATATTCTTAAGTATTCTTGTTCATGCACTAAACATTTTAGTATGCACTGATGATTGAATTGTTACTATGTACTGCACGTTGCCGGTCGGTTCAATTACATACATTCCAGTGGAAATTACGATCTAAGTGTCAAAAGTATGATTAGATTTATCTCGAGCTTCCTCGGTTGTGTAGACATTGAGCGTGTTCCATGAACGGACCACTAGTAACACGAATTTTTTTATAATAGACAGAAACAATATTTGACAATACTTGATGACCTACGACAGATGCTTTTTTTATTTATCGCACAAACAATATTTTCGTTATAAATTACATTAAATAAATACATTTAAGAAATCCTTAAAGTAATGTTGCAAAAATTTTAAATTATTTAATCGAAATTATAAAAATGTAAAAATTTAAGTCATATATTTTGTCGCGTTTGTATTGTAAATTTAAATAAATAGATGAATCAGAATATTATTAATGTATTTTTCAGAGAGTTAGATGTTTTCTATATCTACATAAATGAATTGTTTGATTACTGTGTTCAGAGAATATTTAATGTGTAGTTTGAATGTTGTGTAAAGAGAAAAAAATATGTATTGAAAATGTAGTGAAATTAATTTACATACTGTATTCATTGAAGCTGTGTCTCTTAACAAAGAGCTTACCCTTTAAACTTGTTTACGACTAAAAGTTGAGTTCACGCGGTATCGATGCGGAGGTTTTGGATAATATTATTGGCACGGAACCAAATTGACTGGCATTCTGAATCAAAGTCAGAAAATAAGTTGATTCAATTATTATATTATTTTTTTATTTAATAGACTGTTTTGTTTTATAATTGGCAACACGGACTTGTGTGTAATATTATTTCTGTTGTTACATACCTACTCGTTGATTGATGTAAAATTTGTGCTGATGAAATTGCATTAAGGAGAACAGTCACAGATTATATAAACAAAAATAAATTCGGAACAAAAATTATTCATTTAATTGTGTTGTTGTAAAAGGAATGATGCTTAGGGGTGTAGAAATCGAACGAGTATCAAATTGCTTAGTATCGCGCAGTGCAAAAATAATTTACAGTGTTCGTGCTTCAGTGCCAATAGAAAAACTATTAAGTTACAGTCCAAAGCCAAAAGTTCCGTAATTTGGAGTTTTAGAACGAGATCTTCATAATTGTTTTTTTTTAAATCTTCGCAAAACCTTATAGTACTTGTCTTATGAGAGACGATACTCTTCGAGTCCAAAATTATCGGGTTATCATATTATTCTTTACTGCTCCAATATTTTGTATTCAGTTTTAGTCATTTACGTTTTAATGATAGTTTGTACCGAATGAAGCCAACTTATGTTTGATTTGGTTATGCGGACGACAAATTTGAGCCATTTATCCGATTAAATTGTGCCATAAGTAATTATATTTTATTGGTGACTAGCTTGCGACTAGTTTGGACGTGAATAGTCGTTCGTTGCGTCACGACAATGCTATAATTATAATGTGTCTTAACCTTAGACGTGCCTGAGAAACAGAACAAAACCTTATGTTACAAATAAGCTGAGTTTTCATTATTTTGAAGCTACTTTTTGTCATGTTAGATAAAAATATAAAAAAAAAAAAAATGAAGTTTGTTATGTTACATTGATCTAATCATCGTCAGAGCCATAAAGTTGGATGTCCAACTCAGAAGAGAATAGACTTTATTACTAGAAACTAGTTTCATAAATCTAAATATTAAATCCGACCTTATGGATCTGAAGTCTTCAAGCCTGTGTGTTGATTGATAATGTGTATGAATAAGTGTAACTAAATTATTTTACCAAATATTCTGTAGCCTTCAATATTTTATTGTAAATAAGTCGTTTCATATTTACTACAAATCCTATTTAGAACTAGTTTTTGAATTTAAAATCATTGTTAACATTGTATATGCCTTTTGTAACTGGGTTCTCCTTTCTTTTACAATCCCTCCGCTGTTTTATTTTAGTTTAAGTACTAAACGTTAAAATATATTATAACGGATAAGGCCTAATTTTGTTAAAAATCGAATTAATTCTTCATTTTCTTTTAGCTTCAAATGTTAATGTCTTTTCAAAATGTGTATATCAATTGGATTCCCAGTTAAGAATTCTTGTAAATGTTTGTAAATTCTGTAGTCTATATTAGATGTTATGTAGATTGTAATCGTCTAAAACTTATTAAGTAAAAAGAATTGAGAAAAATATTAATAACGATAAATTAAAAATAATTACAAATCGTTCAAAATTTGCGTTTTATTTCTAGTTTCAAACAACAATTCTACTGATTAATATCAATCAAAATCTTTCTATGAAAATTCTATGAATGATACATGGTATAGTCATGGGTGTATTTACGATCAGAGAAATCATATTTATTTATTGTAACAAATAAACAATGATGAACGTCAATGTAATACATTTATTGCTTCACTATTGATGTTACATTTCTGCTTAAAATAAATAAATTGTACTAAAAATTAACATTTAACCGACAACTAGCAAGCCTTCGTCCATGAACGTGTGGGGGGGCACTTCTAGGTTGAGGGGGGCGGGGCCTTTGCGGATTCGTCCGGAAGCATCGTAGTGGGAGCCGTGGCAGGGACAGTAGTAACCCCCGAATTCACCAGCATTGGCTACCGGCACGCATCCCAAGTGGGTACATACGCCGATCACGACCAACCACTTGGGGTTTTGGGTACGTTGATCGTCGTGCTGAGGGTCACGGAGCGTGTCGACAGGCACAGCCTTCTCGGTCGAGATTTCGTCTGCTGTCCTGAAAGTTATGGTTTTTCATTAATTTATTTGAATTTTCTAGTTACAGGCAAAATGTCAACAACAACTATAGGGTTTTTTTAATAGGGACGCTCGAACTTTGACAGCTCATAGAGGCCATCTTGGTAAAGCGATGGTTGTCAAATTTGGCATGAACACATATTTGGTCGTGACATTTCACCATGGAACTCTACACGCTTTTGTCCGGCGATATTATCGGTCCTTATCTCTTCGAAGATGCGCAAGGGGCCGCGCTCACTGTCAATGGCGACCGATATCGGAAGATGATAACAAACTTTTTGTGGCCTAGGATAGATGATGTGGATCTCACAAACATGTGGTTCCAACAGGACGGCGCCACTTTCCATACAGCACGGGAAACATTAAATTTATTAGATGAGAAATTCGAAGGCTTCATCATCTCGCGCGATGGCGACATCAACTGGCCACCGAGATCATGTGACTTAACACCGCTCGACTACTTTTGGTGGGGCTACGTGAAATCTCTAGTCTATACAGACAACTCTAGTCTATACAGACAACTCTAGTCTATACAGACAACTCTAGTTTAAACAGCCTATTGCCGCCCTGAAGGCTAACATAACTCGCGCTTTTCGTAAAATTGAGCCCCATTTATGCGAAGATGCCATACAAAATTGGTCTACTATGATACATCACCTACAGCGGAGTCGCGGCGGCCATTTGGCTGAAATTATATTCCAAACATGTCATCGAATACCCTTTAAAATAAAATAAAATTTGTGGCAATATCATTAAACAGGTTTTTTAATTTTATTTTTAATTTCGAGCGCTCTGAATGTAAAAGCTTTTATTTAAGGATAACATGACGAAATAATATGCATAATATGTAATGCAAATTCTACATCTAAATCAATTTTTTTTTGTCAAATCTGCAGTTTTGTAGTTTTACCTAATATGATTTAAGTCAATGTCTTCTAATACAGTAAATAAATAAAATAAATATCAGAGTGAATAAATTATAGTTAATAGACTAATTCCATATTCTGTTTCATTATTGTAATAATATAATGTCAATAAAAAACGAAATCAGTCTCTGCATATTGTATCCGACAAAGCATTGTCACCATAAGTTTTTTAAAAAAAAAATTGCTTAGATGGGTGGACGAGCTCACAGCCCACCTGGTATTAAGTGGTTACTGGAGCCCATAGATATCTACAACGTAAATGCGCCACCCACCTTGAGATATAAGTTCTAAGGTCTCAGTATATTTACAACAGCTGCCCTGCCCTTCAAACTGAAACGCACTTACTGCTTCACAGCAGAAATAGGGCTGGTGGTACCTACCCGTGCGGACTTACTACCAGTATTCTTTTTGCGCTATATTATGAGTTAATTGTGAAAATCATTTGCAAAAATATCATGCTATATATGCTCATATACTATCATAAGTAATACTGTTTTTTTTGTTGACGAACACATGTCTTACCTGTGACGGATAAACAATGGTTTTCCTCTCCATTTGAAGGTGACAGACTTTCCTTCTGGAATTTCAGCCAACTTGATTTCAATCTTGGCTAAAGCCAAAACATCAGCAGCTGCTGACATTGATGAAACAAAGTGGGTGACCACAGATTTGGCAGCGTAGGCACCGGCTACACTTCCAGCTGGAAATTTATTTATAGAATTACTAATTACAATACTACATTAAACAAAACAAAATATTCAAATATATATTGGGCAGATGAGTTTATGGTCCCGCTTGTGAGAAGATTTCCGAGCCCACATACATTGTAGGTTTAAAGTGAAAACCCCCAGTATATATATACTCTACGAAGTAATATAGTGTCCAAAATGTAACAAGGGATATTGTAATACACAGTTTTCATATGAATGTGATAACATTATAGATTAATAGCTGTATCCCTCCGCTTCGCTGGGCATTTAACATTAAAATTATTATTTCTCACCCCCACAAGGATTCTCATCATTAATTCCCCCGCAACTAGTGTAGGGAATCCAACACTCATATAAATATTAGCCTATCCATTAAATACAGGCATTTTCTACATGGATACCAAGTTTT